CAGGTCGAGGCTGTGGTGGCCAGGAGCGGCCACTGTACTCCAGTCTGGGCGACAGAGTGAAACTCCAACTCAAAAATGAATAAATAAATAAAACAAAAAACAAAGCGAAACAAAACAAAACTGTGCTTTGCAATGAGTACACTGTGCTTTGAAGTGTTGGCCAATGGTGGTGGCTTACCTTTTCCAATTCTGAGAAAACATTCTCATGTTGGGGTGTGAGATGAACAGCTTTATTGCTAGGCGTGCACACATGGAAGGGTTTGGCATCCTTCTCTGGAAAGTGAGCTGGAGAAAGTTTGGCTGGTTCAGGGAGAGGAGTCATCTCCACAGCAGTCTAGAGGAGGTGACAGTGGTGGTGACATAGAGGCATTGAGCTCTTTTTGTAAAAGAAATTAAGCCTGACTGTTTACACTTTGGTCTTATACTGGGGTCCTTAGTCTGTAGGTCAGAAGATCAGGCACCGACAGTGGGTGTCCAAGGCTTACTTAGGGGAACATCATCCCCCAGAGAGCTGGACAGCTGACCCCCGACCCTGGTGTAGGGAGAGAGGTGTGGGGATTTGACTGAATTTAAGGAGATGTACAGCTTGTTTTATCCAGCTAGCTAAACTAACACACAAATGGGCCGGTGACATAAGTTCCCCCTCAAGTCACCAAGGATTGAAGATAATAGTGACAACCCCAGCTCCTGTGGATGGGAAGAATTGGCAGCCAGCACTTCCATGGCCCAGAGGAGCTTTGTGGCCGCAGCCGTGGCCTGGCTGAGGAGAATAAACAAGAAGTTGAAAACAACACACACCCCTAAAAATATCAGGAAGACTCTTTAAAGAAAGGTTTACTTCCATGCTCCTTAACAATGAGCCTTGAGCTTTGCCATAAGGACATTGTGCTTTGAAGTGTTGACTAATGTTGATGGTTTGCCTATTTCAGTTCTGAGAAAACATTCTCATGTTAGGGTGTGAGGTGAGCCGTTTTATTACTGGGTGTACACACATGGAAGGGCCTGGCAACTTCTTCTTTAGAAAGAGCTGGAGGAAGCTTGGCTGGCCCGGGGAGAGGAGTTAGGGTTTTCACAGCAGTCCAGGGAGGTGACAGTGGTGACGACACAGAGGCACTGAGGGGTTGGGTCGACGAGGATGGCTGCCAGATAGGAGGAGGCGAGTGAGAGGGAAGGTCCCTGCTGCCTCCAAGGGCCATGGAGATGTACAACGGGTCCTGGATTCGTTGTCTGGAGATTTGACCGTGGAGGTCTTGGGCATCCAGAGAGCTGGGAGTCTTCGTGTTCATTTAGACTCTGAAGTCACAGAGCTCCAGCATGTGAACTCTGGCTTCTCCCACAACTGCCTGTGTGACTTGGCTAGATGACCTTGCTCTTGTGCCGTAGTTTACCCATCTGTAAAATGGGAGATAATAACAGGCCCTACCTCAGAGGATTGGAAGGATGACGCGGGAGCCTGTAAGATCACGCAGCCCCTGGTTCCCCATAGACAGACACACGACCAGAAGTGGTGAAAGTGATTGCGGGTAGGGGATGAAGCCAGGAGAGGAGGAGATGGCTCGGGGAGGGAGTGTGAAAGGGAGTCGGTCAAAAGAGGGCTTGGCACCTGGCCTCAAGGACGAGCTCAAGGTCCTTGAGCTCAAGGTACTTGCCAGCGAAGCAGGCAAGGGCAGGAAAAGTAGGGGCAATAGGAGGCTGAGAAGAGAGCCAGGCTTGAGGCGCAGCCCGTTTCCCTGGTGTCAAAACGAGCCAGGTAAGCCAGGCTCGGTGGCTCAGCCTGTCACCCCGCGCCTTGGGAGGCTGAGGTGAGTGGATTGCCCGAGCCCGCGGGTTCAAGACCTGCCTGGGCAACTTGGCGAGACCTCATCTCTACAATAAATCAAAATATTAGCCGGGCGTGGTAGCGTTCGCCTGTAGTTCCAGCTACTTGGAAGGCTGAGGCGGAAGGATCGCCGAAGCCAGCAGGTCCAGGCTGCGGTGGCCGGAGTGTGCCACTGCCTTCCAGCCTGGGCAACAGAGTGAGACTCCAACTCAAAAAAAAAAAAACCAAAAAAACAAAACTAGCCAGGTTGTTCCCTGAAGGTTCTCTAGGTCACACAGCCGGGAGCTGGAGGAGTACAGCTGGGATAGGGAACCAAGGCTGTCTGGCTGTACAGCTGGTCCCCAGCAGAAGCGCCGAGAAACTCCGCAGTGTGGTGCAACAGAAGAGTGGGTACTGAGGGTCAAGGGACCTGGGCTTGGTCCCCAATTCCTCACTTACTAGCTGTGTGTCCTTAAGCAACCTAATCTCTCTGAGCCATTTCCTCATCTGCGAAATGAGATTATGTCCCCTTCCTAGGACTGGGGGAGGCTCACATGAAAGGACGCTTGGTAAGGAA